TGTGACCGATCGCGAGAGCGGCTTGAAGTGCGCTGCGCCACAAGCGTTTAGGCTAGTGTACAGTGTACACTCACAGACTTGCAGCAGCTGCACACGTCGACGTCGTGAGTACTCACGATCACTCAATGCTCATTACCTCGGATGACCGCCAGCTACTAAGCACCCTTACCTTCCGGCAGCCCGCTGGTGGGATTAAGATCCATGAAACTCGATTATGGCCGATACTGCTAACACCCATCATGAGAACGTCGTGCAGCTCAGCAAAGCGGTGTCCGCGGGGGTTCAGAGGAGCCTCGGCGGTATGAGGTCTGTACCAACTACCACAATGAACATGAGCTATCGTTGTTGACGTTGCGTTTCCAGCATACCTGATGTTCGTATCACAGTGCTGATTGGCATGCTTACTCTCAGAACTGAAGTACTCTGTTCCAGATACGAGTTGCGGGAGAGCTTACGACGGCTGTAGTCATGCTCAGGTCCGCTCTGAATGCTGCTGTGCCTTTCCACCGCTTGCCCCCCGAGATCATGAAGGCGATATTCTGGCTCGTGCCCACGATGCAATACCATCTCGTTGGTCGTAACAGCCAATCCCACATCGTGGATATCTGGGAGCGCCGCCACTACGCACGCATGAACGAGCTGTTCACGCTCATGCTTGTGTGCCGCCATTGGAGGGATATCGTGGCAGCGATCCCGTCCTTCTGGAACACCATCAATCAGGCACACCAATCAAGCCGGACGACGTTCCTAGAGCGGTCACGGTTGGCCCGTTGAAGGTTGTTCTCCACAACATGCCATCGGCGTTCATGTCCACGCTTGCGACAGGGAATACGCGCGGCTTGTAGCGATATACCATTGCAACATAACGGCTACTACCGCGCAGGAATACCTCGGGTTCCTCGCGCCAGCCCTTGAAGTTCTGGACTTATCGAATAGCTGGTTCTTCGGACGCCGGATTCTCGGCGAGTCTGTACAGACGATCCAGCTCTTCCGCGGACACACTCCTCGTCTGCGCCAGCTCAATCTCCATCATGTACACTGGTTCCCCGAACTACAGGTGTCGGCGCTGACCCATCTGTCGGTAGACATGTGTCGGTGGGACGATTTCTTGGCCAAAGTAATGGGAATCATAGCGTCTGCACCTGGTCTCATCGACCTGGTGCTCAGCGCGGTCTCGAGCACCACACCCGACGTCGAAACCCTGAACACGTCGTATCCTGACTACTCCGTGTCCTTGCCATATCTTCAGAGGCTCCATTTGCGCTACGTCGTCACCGAAGAGGCCGTCATAGCCATCCTCGCGAAGCTGTCACTCCCCCAACAACTGTGGTCGACATCGTCAAGGCCCTCGACGCGCACCACTTCACGGCGAACGTGCTGCCTACTCTGACCAACCTCCCAGTGACGAAGACGGTCACCCGCGCATCCATCGCGATGATGCCTGTCGTCAACGACCACCATTTCATGATGGCGCAGCTCACGGGGGTGAGCGACGTAGCCGGCATCCTCTGCACTCCCGTAGGGCTCCGCAGCGACCTCGCCCCGGTGGCCTCTATCCTTCCCGCACAACAGCTCCGCGAGCTCTGGCTGATGTTGGTTCCGACCCACGAAATCGTGATTATGGCCGGTGGGGACCCAGATTTCTTCCCTGCCTTCGTACTGGACCCCGACGCGCTGCGGGAGACTTTGAGGCCCATGGCGGCGCTCGAGACGCTCGTGGTGTGGAGCACTGTCCTGCCGAGCGTCGTTGAGGCACTGGTGGACCACGGCGCGAGGGCGTCCCGGCCGTTGTGTCCCAAACTGTCCTGCGTGCGCGTCGTGTTAACCCGCAGTACACCGGCACCGCAGGCAGAGGAAGCCGTCTCACTGCTCGATGCGCAGCAAGACATCTTGCGCTTGGCCCGCGTGCAGATCAACTATCTCCCGAAGTACGCAGGCGAGAAGGTCGAGAGGACGGAGTTCGACCACCACTTCCCCTCGATCGAGTACGTTACGCTGGACCACACGCCCACCATGGAGATGCCGCCCGTGTGCATGCACGAGGCACACGCCCGGTGGACAGGGTGGAAGGTTGACGACGACGGAGTGCAGATCAGAGAGGACGGGGAGCTCCGCGAGGACATGTACAAGTCATGAGGCAAGTGGACTTTCGCTCCTGGCACCTGTCGGTCGCTTATCCAGAACTAGTTCTCAAAAACATCGAATATGCTATGTACACCAGAATATGTGACTTTGACTTCACCGAGCAGTGCTATCATACCCCTCTTGACATGCTAACGCGATAGATATAGATAGCCCACTGACAATGCCTTTTTTACTGGGCGGCTTGTCGTCTTCTGTCAGATGCGTACCGAGCGACAATTGAGTGACAAAAAGACGACGGTTTGCAAGGAACCATACCGTGTAGTGACCACTCACGTCATATCGACTTCAACACGCTGGCCAGTCCACGCGGAACATCCGCCAGTCACGCCCTAGGCGGGGATTGGACATCGAGGTTACCGACTCGAAATTGACCTGGATCTCCCTCGAAAACCACGGCCGACGCCGCGCCCCGGCCCCACATCCGGGGCAGTATTCCGCGACTAGATGGCGAATGCCCAGATTCGTCTGTCTAGCCGCGAAAGACTGTATCAGAGACGTGCTGTCCGACCCGGGCCCGCGGCAGGGCATCTGGACGTGCAGCACGACGTTCGGGCACGCCAGCTTTGGCGGTTTGGATCTGCAGCACTCGAGTGCGTCGAGCAAGCTCGCAAGCCCTTGCGTGTCCACGTAGAGGTTTTCAAGAGCCGGTGCCCTGTGTAGGAAGTCGAACAGCGTCGTCGGGGTGCTGGCGAATAGCGCGGGGCTATCCCGCAAGACTACATGGAGCTCGCGGAGCTGGTCCATTGCGAGCATCCGTGGCAGCGCAGTGCCCCAGTCCTCTCCCAGCGAGGTAAAGTGGTCGATGAGTATACCGCTAGACTGTCCTTCATAAACTACGGTGCGCCGTGTTCCTGATCCCTTGATCATGAGCTTGGTTGCGCCGGCGTTCAACGGCAGCCTGGACAGCTGGTTCAAGAGGTCGCCGTCGAGAGGTAGAACACCGATCAATCGCACGCACGTCTCCGGGTTCAGACGTATGTGTGAGATGAAGCGTTTGACACCCGCGCTCGACATGTGCTTCAACACTAGTCTTCGCAAATGGCGGAGGTGAACTAGCGCATTGCCCTGCGGGTCCTCATGGTGTAGGACATCACCGCGGTCCACCAGCACCAGATCTGTCAGGTTTGGGCTCGCAGATAACAAAGACAATATCCTCTGTAGCAGTTTCCGCCCGTAGCAATCTGCCAGGTAGAGGTGCGTGAGTGTCGACGTTTGGAGGGTGGGGATCCAATTGAGGGAGTCGAGAGAGAGGCGGCGCAAGCTCGGAGTGTGCCCTCGGAATACTTGTACGGGGTAACCCCCGCTTGGCCTGCGCGCGTGCCCGGTCGTCGTCCTGCCTGGTGTCCCAGTGAGACTGAGGCTCTCAAGGAGATACGCGGACTGCTGCAAGTATTTTTGGGAAAGCTTGATAGTGATCCCGTAGTATCGTAGCTCCCGGATTGGCTTGTTGCTTTGGAGGAGCGCGTTCATAGGGCGGGTAGGTTCGCCTTTCATCGAGAGCGTGAGCGGCAATATTCGAGCCCTCTCGGCCGGGACGCGTACGTGATCTAGACGTCTTTGCGGGTCATCGATCCTGTCCCAGAGCGCAGGTGTGTCGACGATGATAGCGCGCCAATGGCGACAGACGTGCGACGCTCGAACGAGCCAGTCTACCCGCACGACTACAGGGTCCCAAATGCTCGTCCCAGGTGTATCCCGTTTGCGAGGCTGGAGACGGACATAATCGAAGATCAATGTGAGGATCTCTGTAGGAAGCTTGTGGTTAACGAGGACCCGTGTGTTCGGGCCCTCTACCAACAACATGATAGTGGACAATATCTCCTTTCGCACCATCGCGTCCTATCCATGCTCTATGCTCAACAGATGCTATACGGTCGAATCTGCGCAAAGTTCTCAACCACTGTGAGCTGAATGACAGATTTCAGTGGAATCAACGTGGGTGCAACGGCCGACATACCGAATGGTCGACTTCCCTAATATCAACTTCGTTCGGAGGACATCTACCAGCCCAACAGTCGACCTGCGGCTCATCTCCTGCTCGAAATCTCGTAGAGTATATACCATGCTTGCTATCGGTAGTGTAAGCATGGTATATACTCGCGCGAGACGAAGCTGGCGAAATCTTACCTAGAAGCGACGTCGTACCGGACACTGGTCAGCAACGGTCGGTCGCTGCAGCTGAGCGAGTATGGGACTTGCGCCTCATACCCTTAGATATGAAGAACGAGCGCTGCATCTCCACACGAGGTAGACATGCTGCAGTCATGTGCACACAGAACGGCGGACTAGAAGATCCGAAGGACATTCACTGCAGGCAACAAACCGCATACAGCCAAACTTTCGTACTGCTTGTCCGATTCATTCACAAATCGGATTACCCTTGACCGGCTCCAACCTACACGCGTTACAGACTTCGTCCACCGTCGACTCATATCCAAGATTGCCTCGCCTGACCGCTTATCAGGTATCTTGCACGTAGTTCCCTGAAAAAGGGCGTGAACTCAGTCTTTGTATGAACGAATGGAACACCTAAACCTTAACTCACCAGGGAACACGCCCTGCCGGTCTCCGACACGGCCCGTCCACCAGTCTTCTGAGCTCTCCGTCCGCTCGACGACCTCTATCCTGTCCCCCGCGCGGAACTCGAGGTCTCCCTCCGCCTGAGGAGTGAAATCGTATAGCGCTACGACATACGACGCTGCAAGCCTGGGCTTTGGCTTGACGGGAGGTGGCGGAGGTGGCGCCTTCTTGGCGATAGCGGGCGACGCTGCGGATGGACCGGGCGTGTACGGAGGCGGCGGAGCTGAGTAGTTTGAGCCCGGAGGAGGCGGAGGGGCTTTCTTAGAGAAGCTGGAGGCGACAGAGGATGTGGTAGAGGTAGTTGGTGAGCGCCCGAGAGAGGAGGGAGCACCTTGCCCCGACGCGGCTCGGTGTGCGTGTACGAGCTTGGCTGCGTTGTCGAAGCGGGGTTGAGTTGTAACGCGTGGATGTTAGATTAAAAGAACGTACTCGTAGACAAGAATCGCTGCGTGATGTTGAGTTCCTCGATCGTCTGCCACGCATCACTGCGCTTCTCCTCGTATTCTCTGGCGATGTCGTTCCCGGTGACGGTGACGTCGTATTTGCCTTCAGCAAATCCGTTCAGTTTGTCAAGCATCATGTAGAAGATGTTCAATCTACGAAGTAGATATCAGTATAGGTGCGCTGGTTACTGGTTGGCACCAATGGCTAGCGAAAATCTGACGCACTGCATGTAGAAGAACGAATGGAACAATGGGTCAACGAATTGGGTGCATTGCATCAGAAAGCGTGGCATCTCTTGCTTCATTGTAGAGTTGATGTAGTCGTACTCATTGGAGGCGATCTCGAAGTCTTGTTCGAGCTGTTGGCAAGCGCCAAGGTGGAGTTGTATCGTGTATCAGAGGATATTGCACAACAAGAGTCAACGACGTACCTTGAACAGGTTCTTCTCATCGTTTAGCGACTTCTCCTTCTTGTCCCGCAACTTGGTCAATGAGTTATTGTACCGGTCGTAATCCATGAGCTGACAGAAGGTAAGGAGTATATAAACATGTAGACTACGAGGTTTCAGATGATCGCACAGACCTTATGTTCCCGCTTAGTGATCGTCTTTCTGATCGTCTTAAGCACGCCCTGCAGCTCCTTCACAGGCCCCATAATCCTGCTCTCGATAAGCTCCAGCTCCGGAGCGATAGCAGCCTTGAGCTCCTCCATGGCTACTTCATAGTCGTCGACGTTCCGGACGGTGTGCGCGCAGTCCGGATGCTTGGAAGAAAGATCATACTCGCCGGGGTTTGTATGGAAGACGACCGCGAAATGCTGAGCAAAGCCGGCACCATATGTGAACAGGTTCGTGACTGCCTCCGTGTATGCCTTCGTGTCCTTCAAAAGCTTCTCGGTCGCCGTCTCTATCGAGGCGAAGCGGCGCCCATAGTCTTCGAACTCTGGGTCGAGGGACTCTGTGACGAGGTGTCAGGGTCGTTCGGTCACCGTGCCAGCACTATCCCGCATACTCTTTGACATGCCGACCCTTGTGGTCAGCATATGTGGAGTCCTAGGAAGCCATTTAATGTTAGACAGTTCCCTCCGTAGGGCGATGATAAGTGCACTGCTTACCGCGCGAAGGCCTTTGAGATACCCTTCATCTTTGCTGCGCAATAATAATGACCTCGAAGGCGCTACTGGGCGGGTGGTTGACCTGATAGTCCGAGTCTGAGCTGGTACTGTAGTGAGGGCGAGAAGCCAGAGAGGGGCAAGAGGGAGGCAGTGGGCGCACTGCGGCTTCCTGTCAGTGTCACTGCCGCGGTTGTACTCTCTCCGGTGACTGCATCAATTAGGAAAGGGTATTACGTAAGGCGACATCACACAAGCCGTCCGTTCTTTGGGCGCTTAACGGAACTGCACCTGCGGCTCCGAGACTTGACTTACTCTCGCCTCCTCGTCTACATACCACAGACATCGTCCAACGTAACGATTTCCCCTTCTTAGAGCTCAAAATGCCTCTCAATCAGCCTTCAAACCAGATCAAGTGTGCCAGTCGTTCGCCTCGTTCTCGTCACTGAACGACTCAACGGATTGCTCATCAGACTTACAAATGTCTCGGTCGTCCGCCTGAAGAAGGGAGGGAAGCGATTTGAGGTGTGTACAGTGTGTAGGACTCAAGAAGGCGGGGCTGATTGGTATTGGGGCCTGACAGGTCGCATGTTACAAGAACAAGGTGCAGGAATGGCGCAGCGGAGTCGAGACGAACCTCGACGACGTCCTTCAAATCGCCAATGTGTATCTCAACGTCTCGAAGGGCGAGCTCGCCAAAAGCCAGGACCTACAGAAGGCATTCGGGACCACCGATCTGGACACCATCGTGAAGGAGGTGAGTAGACCGTCAGGTCGAGCGATGTATGCAGCTGACCGCGATTGACCTAGATCCTCAAGAAAGGCGAGCTGCAGGTCGGAGAGAAGGAGAGAGAACATGATCTTTCCTCCATTCGCCGCGAGATCGCGACTCAGGTAGCAGAAAAGTGCGTAGACCCGGCAACACAGCGGCGCTATCCGATCGGTGTCATCGAGAAAGCCATGGTTGAGGCTGGATTCAGCGTTCGCCCAGGAAAGAACGCGAAGAGCCAGGTATGGAGCGCTTGTTCGTACATATATTGCACGTCGATCTTCTGACATTTCTCGACTCGTCAATGCGTACTAGGTATCCGAATGCATCAAACTTCTACAATCCGAGTCGAACCTACCAATCCAACGGGCGCGCATGCGTATCAAGCTGACGATGCCAAAAACCGACGCGGAGCGGCTTCGTACTCGCGTTCTCGAGGGCGCAGAAACAGTAGAGCGAGACGACCAGAGCGGTGAACAGTGGGAAACCGTGTGTGCAGGTTTGCTATTTGTCTCGCTGCCCGTGCTCATTCATGATTGCTGTAGATTCTGCTCATCGATCCTGGCCAGTTCCGCGTCCTCAACGATTTGCTACATAAAGAATGTGCCGGAAGAGGTCAATTGGAGACGATGTCCTTTGCAGCGACTGCCGGCGATTCGGCAACGACGGCATAAGGTCGCGTCAGGAAGTCTAACAGGCAGTGTCATACAATTGTTGTACATCACTTCTATAGTACAGATTTGCGACAATGAGCTGAGTGCGAGTATTCTATCGTGCAGGTCACTTATGTCAAGAGATTATTTTAGCGCATCGACGTGCTCAGTAAGACGTGGGGAAGGGGCAAAAAGTCCGCTGAGAAAAATTCCAGATATACCTAAGTTATGTACGGAAGACTAGCACACACACTGCACGTCTATATTCTGACACTTATCTCGACCCGTCAACGCGTATTAGGTATTGGAATGCACCAAACTCCTACAGTCACCCAAGTCAAATCTACCAGTCCAGCGGGCGCGCATGCATACGATGCCAAAAGCCGACGCGGAGCGGCTTCGTGTTCGCGTTCTCGATCGAGGGCGCAGAATCAGTAGAGCGAGATGACTACAGGCAGAGCGGTGAGCAGTGGGGAACCGTCGTGCGCGCAGGTTTGTTAGTCGTGTTGCGCGTGTTCATGGTCCACAATTTGCTGCAGATCCTGCTCATTGCTCCGAGGCCTGGTCAGGTCCGAGTCCTGAACGTGCAGATCATGTGCTGGCAAAGGGAGACGATGTCCTTTACGACGACTGCCGGCGAGGGGGTACTAATCGCAAACTAATCGCATCAGGAAGCCCGGAAAGATAACAGGCACATAGTCATACGATTCCGATTGTTGTAAGTACATCAATCGTATAATACAGATCTGCGATAATGAGCTGGGTGAGAATATTCAATCTGTCGTAAACATCAATCATGTCGAGGGGTCATTTGCGCATTGACGTGCTCACTGGCAGTAAGAAGGCTGCCACAGGGTAAACGACGAGGCTCCAAGATCACACATCCCTCACGCTGACTGAGACCAGCGAAGGCAGGACGTCACTCATCGTCCGACCATGCGATGTCCGCGTGGTCCACCATGTTCTCGTCGGCCATGTTCAGCTCAGGCTTGGGCTTCTTCATGGGCTGCGGCTTCTGTTTGAGTATACCATCGACGGCGGTCTTCAGGTAGAAGTCCCACCCGGCAGTCACGTTCGACGGCAGACTCCGCGCGAGCTGCTCCACTTCACGCATACAGGCCCTGAGCTCTTCTCCGTCTCGTCTCTCGTGCATGCTGGCGCCAGGTTGTAGGGCTTTAATCAGACGTATAGCTTCCTTGAGCTGGTCGCTGGATAAGGTCGGTGTCAACAAACGCACGACTCGGTCACAATCCGAACAGGGACGGCGAAATGTGACTCACTTGCATTGCGTTATATCGCCGCTGACCTTCTCGAGCCCCGAATAGTCAACGTTCACGAGAAGTCTTCTCAAGCGGTTCTTCGTGTCGCGCAGGTGGTTGCGCGCAAGCTCTAAGAAGACCATGCTATACGGCAGCGGTACCAGCAGCAACAGACGGTACAGCCGCTGCGGCTTCTCCATTGACTCGACCCACTTGTACGTGTACGTCGCGCGGTAGGCATTGGCGAAGCGGAGGTGAATCGCAGTGGCCGGTGTCGTGAACGCATTCTTTTTCCTGAGGCGTGCACGGAGATAGGCGTCAGCGAGCACTCGGGCTGCATCGAGCTTCTCCTGTGCTAGCTGTGCGTCAGCAGGGTCCGGTGCTGGGAAAGCCAGCGACTGGTCATCGAGATTGACTACGGGGGGCGTAGTGTCAGAGCCTTGACGTCCGTTTGCCTCTGGTAGGTTGTCGTGATGCTCGTCTTCCACCAGATCGACGGCAGCGGCAAGAGAATCGACCGCCCTAGAGGGCCCGTCTGCACGTTGAGCAGCAAAAGGCGCGGCATCCCCATGCAGGCCGAGAGTGGGAAATGGAGCTGTGTCCGCGCCAGAGACCAGCAGAGCGGCTGGGATCTCCCCCGCGTCGTTGTACTCATCGTACCATGCGTCCGCGTAGTCCACCATGTCGTCGTCGGCCATGTTCAACTCCGGCTTGGGCTTCTTCGTGGGCCGCGGCTTCTGCTTGAGGATACCATCGACCGCGGTCTTCAGGTAGAAGTTCCACTCGGCAGTCACGCTTGGCGGCAGACTCCCTGCGAGCTGCTCGACTTCACGTATACGCGCTCTGAGCTCCTCCCCGTCTCGCTTCTCGTGCATGCTGGCGCTGGGCTCGAGAGCCTCAATCAGACGTATGGTCTCTTCGAGGCGCTTTCTGGATATGACGAAGTCGGTGTCAATGGACACATAACGCAATGCACAACAACGATACAGCTGATCGTTACTCACTCGCATTGCTCCATCTCGATGCTGACCTTCTCGAGCTTCCAGTGTTCGATGGTGGCGAGACTCTTCTGCAAACGGGTCTCCGTCTCGTTCAAGTAGTTGCGCGCAAGCTCTAGGAATGCCATGCCGTACGGCAGCGGCACCAGCAACAACAAGCGGTATCGCTTCTGCGGCGTCTCCAATGACTCGACCCAGTTGTAGGTGTACATTGCGCGGTATGCGTTGGCGAAGCGGAAGTGGATCGCAGCGGCCGGTGTCGCGAAAGTGACCTTTTTCCTGCGTCGTGTACGGAGATAGACGTGGGCGAGCACTCGGGCTGCGTCGAGCTTTTCCTGGGCCAACTGCGCGGCAACGGGGTCTGGTGCCCCGAAAGCCAGCGACTCGTCGTTGAGATTGACAACGGGAGGTACAGCATCGACGTCCTCTTCGTTGCCAGCCTCGTCGACCTCGTACTCATCCTCCTCCACTTCTACTATGGCAGGAGAATCGTCTACCTGGAGCTCGGAGGACATGTGCGTCTGCTGGGGGACGAAGGTCACAGCGTTTCCGCTCAAGCCGATCCTTGGTTGGGATGTGGTGTTCGCGCCCGATGCGAGTAGGGCCGGGATCTCACTCACATCGTTGTAGATGATGCGTCGAACGTTCCGTCGTGGTGGGAGTCGAGACTGCCCCCTTCTCGCGTGATAGAGCTGAACCATCTCGTCGAACGGAGAGCGTGTGGTAGAATACCCGCGGACCTCCTTGGCAAGAGCGGCCCAGTCTTCCGCGCAGACGTAGCTGGATTTTCTCTGAGTATGGATACAGGATAGGGTAAATCACAGAGTGCTCACTGCCGGTACACACTGTTGAACTCCCGATCGGGACGATAGAGCGACGTGATTGTGCTGTGGACCTTGTCTCTCAGCCACCGGTAGCGGGAGTTGTATCCGACTGTACAGAACACGTTGAGTAAGCGAACAGGTTCTACCACAGCTGAGTGCTGGGCGGTGACGTACCAAGGCAGAGGTTCCTGCAACTATGGATGACTTGAGTTTCTAGGGAGCCTAGTCGATGCTATATCGAGACTCACATTCTCGCCAAGAAGACATTTCTCACGTGCCAACCGAGTTTCGACAGGTCGCTGCTCTCAAAAAGGAGGTACCCTTAGAGGATTGTCAGACCGAGAAACCACTATGAGACGGATGAGGCATACCGGCATTGACAGAAGTATAGATTTGCTCCAGCAGGGCGGCCACGGGCTCGATATACAAGCAGATGTGGTCTGTGCTTTTGTTCTGTAGTTGATGTAAACTGGGCAGAACTCGTTGGAGCCAGCTTCGAGGCATTGTGAGATCGTGAAGTGTATTTGCGTCGTTTAATTGAGAGGCTACTATGAGCAGACTAGCGAGGTTGTCCATAAACTCGCAGAGCACGACAATGTCGATGGACAGTCGTTTCACAAGGATATGGCTGGTCATAAAGTCACTCAGCATGACCCTGAGAAAGAGCGAAACGACCAAGTACGCACTTCACATACAAAATGCCGCTTGCAAGTGAAGCTGGATGTACGTTGAAGACAAAGCGATCGAGATCCTGGACGATGTATACTTCTGATGCCGTGCCATCCTGACCGCGCAATAACGGTTTGGGTCTGCAGGTAACAACAGATCGAACCTGAGGAAGGTGATTATGCAATGCGCCAGAATCGACGGTCAGTCCGAGTGAGATGGTCCTCATCAATGCGGTAAGGAAAGTCGGCAGGAGATCATCACGGCTGCCGTGTGGCCAAAGGTCGTAGAGCCAGTCAAGGACCCATTTCCTGACGGCCTGCATAGCGGCCTTGTACTCTGGTATCATGAGCGGCCGCAAGCTGCATACCGTCCCCAGTTTGAAGAAAGGAGGGTTCAGTGCTTCATGCAGTTGACGTAGCCAAAATCTGGATCAATTCTGAGTGACTGGTATGCACTCCGGTTGCTCAATATGATTTACTGACCTGTGTTGCCGCGCTTGTACAAAACGGTCCTCGACAGCATGTGCGGAGTTGTAGATCAAAATCTGCTGTAAAATGACCCGGATGCGCAGGTTGTACTGATCCATGGTGTACTCGTTCGCGACCACGTGCTCTTGAAGACACTCCCGGTTACATCTACCAAACGCGAAGAACGGCAGGCAGACTTGGAAAGCGCGCGTTCGGTGGCACAATTCATTTTCTTCGCGAACCTTGCCGCACAACCGTTCTTGCAGGCTGTGTCGCAAGAGCCTGTTCAGTTCATGTTTCAGTATCAATACTCCCTGATCGCTCCCTCGGAATCCTTGAGACCATCGACGAACACAGCCAGCATAGAGGAAGGTGTTATCTGGTATGAGAAAGAAGTCCTCGCTGGCAGCCTTGAATGCAAAGAGCCTTTGAATGCCTTCGTTATCAGAGAGATTCGGGGTCGACGCAAAGGCGTGCAGCAGGTTCACATATACGGAGAAGTGTCGTAGGGTGTCCGCAATGAATGGTAGGGGTGCACCTCGAAGATTAGGCATAGCAATGAAGGCGTTGTCAAGACATCTCAAGGCAGAAGCCATATCATTATGGCGTTGACGGAATTGCTCGCTCAACTTGAGAAGCTTCGATACGTCATTTGATATGATCGCCTTGAACATGAGCAGCTATACAGAGACATGTCAGCCATGTTATGTATCATTCGGACAGCGTGTGATATACTTCGTCGCGGACGGTGTCGTCGACATCAACTATGTTTACGCCTTGAGAATTGAGGATGCGACGTAGTTCCTGTAACACAGTGTCCGATTGTGCGATTTCCGAGCCCGGGATGACTCCAAAGGATAACCGGCACCGCAGTCCTTCGAGCAAAGAAAACGCGGCCCTCCTCGCGGCTTCTGGGTTGCCGCGGTCCTGGAGAAGCAACGGGATAGCGTCTGCCATCCGACCCTCATCCAAGTGTACCTGGGCAGCATCCGTCAAACGCCCGAGTTGCTCCAGGAGCATCGCCCTAGCGATATCCAGTCCACGTTTATCCATATAGTTGAGAGCATCTTCGTCCGAATCAAACAAAGATCTTGCCTGTCTGAGGATGGCAAGTCAATATAGCGATGCGACATGGAGATCTATGTACTCACTTCATGTTGCGCTTCCTGAGATACTCGAGACGCGATACATCTGTGATAATCCGTAACACCTCGGGCTCGATGGAGTCGCTGTGACTCTTGATGACCGCGACCGCGTCATCGAACAATCCGGCTTTGCGATAGAGTTGTGCGGCTAGGGTGTACTTCTCCGCAAGGATGTAAGCGCGTGCCGCTCTTGCCAGATCGTTGCCTTGAATGTAGCATTCCGCGGATTTTCGGAAGTATGTCTGCTTTTCTTTCACAGCATCAAGCCCCGACCTCCAAAAGGCATCAGCTGCCTTCGTAAAAGCCAGTACTCGAGCAGAGTTTCCAGCTCGCGTGTTCGCATGGGCCGCGCGGGCTTTCTCCTCAAGGTAGTAAGCCTCGGCGACTGCACATTCTCTGACGAGCTTGGCACGCTCATAACAATGCATTGCTTGTGAGTATCGCCTGTTGCTGAAGAGTGCGAAGGCGGTCTTTGCCCATTCTTCCGATGTTGATGTTGTTGCCAGTCGGGGGATGTCAGAGTCGGACGGTGTATGATTTTGTATGTGCCCATTCGCTGTCCAGAAGTGCTACAGCTTTGTCAGTCGCGGCGGAGTGAACAGGCAAATCACAGCTCACCCGCATCGGCTCGCATTTTATCGAGTTGTCCGCGATCCACAGATGATTACGAGCCCTCGTGATTGCGACGTACAGAAATTTGAGCTTGTACTATGTGAGATCGAGCATATCCCGCACGAGATGTGTACTCACATCCCGACACACCCCATTGTGGCGCTTTTCATCAAAGTCAGGTGCTTTGACTGTTGCGACCGCCTTGTCCGAGTTAGAAAGTGCATTGAGGATGACTCGCCACTGGGAGTGCTCGACAGTGGAGTCCGCGAAGAAATTGTAGAGCAAAACCTGTCGTGAATGTCCAATAGTACTAAGACCTTGAGGTTGAAGGTGAATTATCTAGCGACCTACGTCGTTGAATTCGAGCCCCTTGCTTTCGTACAATGTCCTGTACAATGCACAATCAGCATTGCTGCCAGTTCGACGACATATTATATTCTGACAGTATGAGGCCAATATCACCCACTTGCGCACGAAGTCTTTTTCGAGCGGCATCATCACGGACTAGGATACCTTCACAATAGTTAGCCAAGAAGCAACAGGAGCCTACCATAAACTGACATTGTTCCGCTCCGAACTCTATATGGCCCCCGCTTTGTTGCACGATCAGCAGATGGGAGTTAAGTACAGGCAAAATCGAGCTTACGAATCACCGAACAGGAATTGTTCGTAACGAACAGTGTCCTCATCCCATCCGCTGAGAAACACTGGCTTCTCTCCGTCTACTGTACCGCGCTCTGGAGCCAACCGGTCGATAGCATTGGGCCAAAATTCAGTGATCAACTCGACAATTGAATGGGCGCAATTGACGATGCCCGCGTGAGATCTGTAGTTGACAGCCAAGTTGAATGTGCGAGGCTCAGGCTGAGTCCCAGAAGCAGAACGCAGATGTCCACCACTCAGCTGTTCCTATGTAAGAATGGGTCGCTCAATGATAACTCACGACTTGCCTCCACACGATGCAGGAAAGCCTTGAGATCATTGAAGCGGAAAGCACTACCCATCGAGATGGTTTGTGCCGTGTCCCCCGCCCAGAACAAACCACTATCTGCATTGTGGCTCAAAGAGCGTAGGACTGCGGGATAGCTGAATGTGCAGTTCACGTGATAGTATGGATTAGATTCTTACGGAGAGCATCGATCAACATGTTGTCTTGCGCTTCATCTATGTATCTTTGACATAGTCAGCATTTACAAGTGGCATCATACAGACCCGGATAGACATACAGAAAGTCGACATGTTTACCGGGCAAGCCATATGACTCTAAGGCCTTCAATAGACGACGCGTCCTGAAAAGTAATGGGTGTCAGAACCACTGCACTGCACAAGGCGACAGGTGACTGATGAACAACTTGAACATACCGGTCCGCTGCGTCATATTCACCTCGACGGCGCTTGTGCTTCAAATATGCATGGAACAGATCGTAGATTACTTCTCGCTGGTTCCCAAATGTCGCTTGTGTTCGACGGCTGAGATTGTAGTATGACACTCTGTCCAGATAACCATCTTCGCATTCCCAGCTCTGCTCCGAGCCCTTGATGACGCCTCGTTCATTCGTGAGTAAGAGAGCCATGCTGAGTCATCTAAACATCATTACCCATGATCTCCGCAAACACCAACGCAGGGTCTGCCAAAAATTCATGAGTGAACAGATGGTGAGTGATGCATGCCAATCTTGCACACCTAGACCTTTAGTCAGCGGCTGAGGGAAATGTGCCCAGTATGACTTCAAAAATTCGCCGTATGAAACGAACGACTTGCGTTGCTGCTGCATATAGTCATTTGACAGGATCTCAGCTACCGTATCCGCAGTCGTGCGATCTGCATCTTGGAGTAGAGATCCAGGCTGCAACGAAGATGAGTGCGGGAAGTCAGCCTCTAGCAAACGACAAAGCTACAGGGTGCATGTCAGACAGAAGACGATAACACGGAATGCGCCGTGATACTCACTTGATCAAATGTAACAAACATCGGGAAGTGTTCTTCCGTCAGTTCGCTATATCGTCGAGGCAAATCACCCCTGAAGTCCATTTCCTCGTCTAAGTCAACGAGTCCTTGGTCTTGCTGTGTCTGCCTGATGGAAGCCATGGCCCGCAGCTCGTCGGCTGACTTATTGGCAGTTAAAAGTGAGCTATGCAGGCTCATAAAATGTTCTTGCACTTTCTCTGCAAGTACCCTTGATTGCGTGACAAAGAGTTGGCGAGGCCGACCCAATGCGCCGTCGCACGACCGCCAGCTGTGTTCTATCCCTAGCATCTTGTACAGCATCGTAGTCGTCTTGCTGCACATTCCATGAGCAACGAAAGGCACATCAACCACAGAATCCATACCCAGTACCGCTCCTACCGAGCACATAGCAAGACCGAGTGTGTTCAATTATCTCCATCTCTTGAGACCTGTGCTGCTTTAGACATGGACGTCACACGGAGTCAACGATCAACTCACGAGACTTGGAAGACGTGCGTGGCCTCTTGATCAGCCAGGATACCTAAGACCTTGTGAGCAGCGAGGCATCTACGTGTGAATCAACGCACTGTTCAGTAGTGCCTGTTCATGGTAGTGTTATGATTATGGACCGAGAATCAAGGTAAGAAATGCGTACTTGGGAAAATGAAACATATTTCTGGAGGCTGTGAGGCAATTCGGTAAGTTCAACGATGGTTTCGAAGGTATGGTATGACATACACGAGCATCTCGTGCACCTACGTGCAACGTACGCATTGATTGTAAGCTTTTCTGATAAATCCCCTACAGACATTGAAGGCGAAGTAAACAGTCACCTTCTTGAGGTCATCCTTGTGCAAATCAGGGAGACTTGACTGCGACGCGGCAGCTTCAACCTCTACTTGAGCGGGCCATGACGCAGGCAGAATGGTACGCGCGTGGCCTCGAACTTGCGTCGGCCGATTGCGAAAAATGCATCTGCCATAATTTTTTAGACAAGAACTTACAGCTCGCGATCTATTGTCGACTCACCGTGCTTGATACTCCTTGCCCTGTCGCCCTAGCTGGTTGCCGAGCGTATCCCAGTGTCGTCTATCAATTTGAGCATGCGTGTAGATGCCGAAGATCCTGATAGCTACAACCAAGAACCGTTAACCATTATGTGCCAGTGCGACAGGCGCGGTCACACTCAAACCTTGTCGCTTCACCTTGTGCACGTCAGCGAATGTGTGCTATCATGCATGGGCAGACTTACATTGGTCTCGAATTCGGGAACACAGTCGATCTGGTACTGCGTACATGGAGTCAACAACATGCCGTTCGCTTACTTCGACACCGAACTTACGACTAAGCGAGAATCGCCCGTCATCTTCGCCTCAAAAATCGGGATGTCCGCATTGACCGTCAATTGTTTATGATTGTCCGGAGAGAAGTGCCCATTCGATAGTTCCCTATTACAGTCGACAAGAATGACATTACGGTGTCACTCAAATAGAAGGGACACAAACCTGATTTTCTTTACAGTGATGTTGAAGAGGTCTAAAGACTTCTTCCGCATTTGTCGCAGATCTGCGTGGGCACTTGTAGAAATCAAGACCGTCCATTCTCCAAAACCTTTGGCGCTGTCGAAATATAGAGCGGCTTTCAAAGGCTGGACGAAAGGATATGCGGAGGCGGTCTCCTCCGTCCCAGTGCTTCCTTCAACACGTTGCGATGCTGTTGATGCTGAAACGTCACGCGTGATATATGTCCCCTTGATTGTGTCCGTTAAGTGTGGGTACCGGATGATTTGCATATAATTCTGTATCCGGTCACTCGTTAGTCGCAATGGGCTATGGTGGCGAACTTGTAACCTACCTGTAGTATGCGCTTCTGAGAGAACATGATGCTCGCTACAACCGCTAGAGCTTCATCGCGATCCGACGGGATCTTGATATCGAGCTCATTGAGCAGTTTCAGGTCAACCTTGACGCTCGACGAGGGTGTTCGAGGCTGCTTCTTCCCCTTCCCCTTCTGCTTGACCAATCCCGATGACGAGCGTCCGGCCAGCCCCGGGTCCTCGGCGGTAGCATAGCCTAACGGGAGGCCAGCGAGCACCTCTAGTACGCGTTTCGCACGCTCGACGGAGTGACGGGTGTCACGTATATCCTCGGGCTCGGCTGAGGGCGATGGGTACCGCAAGAAGACGAGAAACAGAGAGAATCGTTCAATTAGACGACCGGCAAGCGATGTCGCGAAAGACTTTGCATCTGCAGGAAAGGAGGCAAGAATGCACTCGCTCAGCTTGCGAGCAGCCTCGTCGTCAACGACTAAACGGACGCGTGAATAATGAGCAGTACGTAGAGCGGTGTCCAGCGCACTCACCGGACAAGGCGAATTCCAAGAGGTGAGGTACGGAGGCCAAATCTTCTACGATGCTATTGACACTGTCTGTATCTACGAGATTGCCTTCAAGGTCGCTGATCGCGACGCCAACGGCAATCTCGTCCCTCAGAAGGGATGCATCGTAGAGGCTCAGGTCGAGCCTGACACTAGGCTTTGTCGAGAGTGTTTGAACACGTCGGTCCCTCATAGTGTCTTTGCAGGACAACAAGGCGGGGATAGTGGACAACGACTGACTACTTGATTCTTAAGGTCAGTTGCACACTCGTGTGAACGGCGTTTCGATATCTCGCAACGAGGCATAGAAGACGCACACACCAAGCCGGAATTCATTAATCCACTTCTGTCAGCCTAGGACTGACCCGCAGGGAACCGCGAGGCTTCATTTAGTTGCGCCGCAATCGCCTCGTTGTTTGCAAGCGCCTTGAAGCATAAGTGTCTCGTATGAACTGGAAGATTGATCCAGAAGAGAAATGTGCTGAAGCAGAAGGGTACGCCAGTCACTCGGTATGTCGAAGGGAACTTACCGTCTCAGTGAGAGCGACCTCGACGGAGGGCGATCCGCATGACACGACACCACCGAGGTCTGGTGCATGCCTGATCGTGAACCCAATCCTGTTCGCTGACGAGCATCATGATGAGAAGCATACGAATCAAGGAGATGGCGCGGATACGCACATCGACATTGGTTCAGGATTCCGGACCTTATGCATGCATGCGCAAGGCGCGTCATTTCGAAATGGCACCGGGCCTTTCTATTGAATAACAGAGGCCCATGGATCCGTGTAGCTCGACCCATTCTCGGTCTCTCCCCTCTACAGTGCGGGTCTGTAAAATCGTCCGCAGGATACAGTGAGAACGATGACTTCAGTCAGGTCTAATACTCACCAATGTGTGGTGAATAGGCCTAGGGCATTCGACGCAATTGACGCCGCATCAGTAACGGGGGACCTGTCGTCCCCTATCGGTGCATATCACATATGCCAGAATCACAGAGGCGTTCTGACGCAGAATCGCGGTTCCAGGGCCAATAATCAAACCCACTTACAGCGGCGTGAAGGGTGAACAGACGCCCTCTTGGAGAAAAGTGTGCAGCTGACGTGCTCAGGCTTTCTCCGCTGGAATGCGATCTATGAACAGGTCGAGACCCGCATGTCATAAATGCCTGTCCCAGCCGCAGTGAACGAAAGTCTTCGGGAGACTGGGACCACACTGGGTAAGTCTGCGACAGGCAATTAGATGTCTTTCCGTGCGTTCGCAACCATCCAACGCTGAGTACGCGCTGACGTGACCACTGAGCGCTGAGCGCTGAGCACTGAATACTAGGGACGTTCAAAGTTGCTGGAGCTCTGGAGCTCCAGCTGGAGGACGCTGGAGCTTGGAGCTTGGAGGCGGCGGTTCTCGGGGTTTGCCGCTAGGCTTTTCCGAGGCGTGCGCGCTGGTCACTGTCACACGCCGGTAGCATGTGTGACTTCCCTAATGCAGTATAAGTACCATACACGCTCGATGCTCACCACGCCTTGCATCTAGTCTCTTCAGAAACACTGAGGCAGCTCGTGAGCTCTTTTGGGCTGTCGTAGATAAAATAGGTGCACCACTGTGCGACACGAGAATTAGGTGGCCGCAGTATGCTGACTAAGCTGTCAGCCACCCATAAGTTACTGTAGTATTCAATTCAATCCGGCGCAGGTTGTGACTGTGACAGCCGCGCCGCCGCCAGGCGGCGCGGCGCGAGCGACGGTGACATGTGACAAAGACAGTGCAGACGGTGCGGCTGAGCGTCGATGGGCTATAAACGTCGTCGAAACGAGTGCTGAAGCCGCCGCCGGAGGCGGCCAAATTTTTGTGCATTTGTCACAACCGGCGGGACCCTCAGTGACCCGTGACAAGGGTCCTTTACCGGTGTGGCGAGGGGCCTTGTGACACGTGACCGCCGGACTGTATTGAATACTACAGTAGTCCGATGTAATGGGCAAGGTCGGCTCAGGCGGTCGTAGTGGCTACGATCGCACGGGACGGCGGAATGAGCGAGAACGGTCACAGTACCGACTCAAATACTAGTGTTGGAAAGGCGAGAAACTACGGTACAGGCTGGCACGATATATCTACGTGCTGACATAAGCATGTGGCGCGCCCGTTACATCCGAACAGCGCGAACGAGTCTCTGTGTTTCCTAAATTACAGCCACGTACTGTAGTTTTAATATTGCTGTAATGATCAGATTGTATGCTGTGGGCGAGTGATGCTCCGATCCCCGCTGGTGTAGGGTGGTGTAGTCGGTGTTGGACGAGCTGTACTGCCTAATTGGGCAAGTGCATCGTCGAATCCCTAAACCGACATGCTCAGAGTGTCGTGCAGTGGCGGCAGAAAGGTGAAAGTGCCAGACCGTGAAAACACCTCCATTCAAGACTACTGCAAAGAATTCAAGCCTGAATACCCAGCCTAAATGTCCAATAGGCCTCGTAGTATTCGCGCCACACACTGTGACATGACATAAGCACACTGTGGCTGGAATTTCCGGCGAGACCACACCGGTCGCGCGGCTGACGGCATCCCCCGAGGGCGAGCTCCAGCCTCCAGCCTCCAGAGCTCCAGAGCTCCAGCAACTTTGAACGTCCCTAATGAGTCTTACATACACCTCCCGTCGCAGTCAATCTGACTCGACGGACCATTGGATGGTCAGCACTCGTTCCCTAGGGCAAAGAAAGAAAATGAAAGACAGTAAGTTGTAGCACTGATAGCCTTAGAGCAGTATATGCGCACCACCAGCTCCCCGTAGCTGCCTGACTCTTTACCGGTACCACACGACGACTGGAACTCCGTCAAATGGTTGAGCGTGGATGTCGTCCAGCGTGGCACTTGCGGCGTTCACCACCGGAGGCAACGAACAGGTCCCGTGCTCATCACAGTTCAGATCGTCTTCTGATTGAAAGTAGCCTGAAATGTGTTCAAGAGTCCTAATTGAAAGTTCTGAAACCAGTCGAAGAGAGGACTTTGAGGCCACCGTCGTGGCTATGAGGTGACGTTATTGCCTACTTGGCCGAGTCGCAGAAGGTGAGCTCGAAGAGGTTCGAAGGCGCCAAAACGCAACTTGGAACTGAACGACTGTTGTGTCGCTATGCACACCTGATGCGGGAGTTCTACTCTACTGAGCGTACTATTAGCTAGGAATCGACATACATACATACCGACGACAGGTATATTACGGGGTAGACTATGCAGGGTCGTCTCCAGAATACATGATGTCTTTAATTACAACAGACCGTCTTACTTAGCTCACGCAGACACCAACCATATCCGACCCCGGGACTCTGGAGGCGCATGCCTCGCCAGGCCGGGCCTTGCTACAGAGAATTAGAGCTGCGATTCAGCAGTGAAGCTTTGAATCAATTTTGAAGGTTGGGTGAAGTACGGTACACAAATGCGGAACATCCGATTGGCCACACGAAGGGTCGCGTTGTAGCCGCTGTCTTGGGATATATGTATATGTATGCGAGATGTCCTTCGCAGCCGTAAAGATCCTTCTAAATGTCTCACCTCGGAAGACTGACATACGGGCAACCTCCTGCATCTGACATAGACAACTCACCGACGTCCTCAACTCGTCTCCGATGCGATCAAGCGGCGTGGTTTCAAGTCTGTACGCGCTCAGAGATATCGGATTCTTGCACGTTGCGGCTTCATGATGGCCGAGCCATTGACGACGTAGGCGTGAAAGCACTGAGAGCACTGAATCAGGCTTCAGCAGATAGGCAGCAAACTGAATAGAGCAGCGTACAGGAGATGATCGGGGTGCATTCGCTCAACAAGGCGGCGAGGATGAAGGGCTCTGGTGTCGCACGAAAGCCAGCCATCGACACGCACCATTCACGAGAGGACAAGGGGGTACAGAGAAACGAGGAGGGCATACATACATGGACGGTCAAGACGACCCGCAGACGAAGATAATAATAAGGTCACAGGAGACCCGACCAAGCATTTCACGCATTCTGGGCCTCACGAAAGCCGAACGCCGCAGCGACACCGGGTAAGAGGAGTTGCGGGACTGTCAGCCAATCCTGCGCGAGCTGCAGCTGGATCGGTCTTCGCGCCCGAGAGGATTGTCCTCGCCTCTAACGGTGCCTGTCAGACGGCACAGGCGAGAGTGGGAATGCGCGTGCGGACTTATAGGCGAGTCCGGAGACACGGCCGTATCAGCACGTTCGCATGACTAACGGACGTCAGACGAGACGCAGCAGCAGCGGCGAGTGGTACCGGCAGCAGAGAAGCGTGGCTCAACTACGCGGGGCACGACGAGGATAAGGTGGTGATCGACGAGGAGCGATGGGGTCGACGTCCGGGGCGGCGAGGCGAAGAGGCAGAACGTTGACACGTGCACGCACTCCGAGTCGGCGAAAGAGCGGGAGCCGGCCGTCTTCGGGGCGTTCGTCCGAAGGCCCAATCACCTCCCATAAATTCGTCAGGGAGCGCGGCGTTTGCCGGCATACGTCTTTACCCTCCCTCTCTTCGCTGTCGCTCGTCGTCTCCTACGACGATGTTCAACCTCTCCTCCCGCTCCGCGAAGGCGTGGCGGTCAGTCCAGCGACTGGCCGCCGGTATGGCCACCGTCGCCGAGGGCAAGATCGGCGACAAGAAGGTCGCCATGTCCTTGGTCGAACCTAACGCGTACATCAACTACCAACGCATCGAGGACAACCTCGCTATCGTACGCGACAGGTGGGCAAACCGGTCTTCGTTCCCTCGGACGCGCATCTGACTCTGCTCAGGCTTAAGCGGCCGCTGACTATGTCCGAAAAGATTGTGTACGGTCACCTCGACGACCCGCACAACCAGGACATCGTCCGCGGGACGAGTTATCTCAAGCTGCGCCCTGACGTACGTGTTTGTAACACGGCTACGCATTGCTCCGCTCACCCTCTCCACAGCGAGTTGCGTGCCAGGATGCTACCGCCCAGGTGAGGCCCTCTAAGCGTATGCGAATACCTCAGCCCCGGCTTGACGTCATATGTCCCCGCATAGATGGCTATTCTGCAGTTCATGTCGGCAGGCATGGACACGGCCGCGGTTCCGACCACCGTCCACTGTGACCACTTGATTGAGGCCCAGGTCGGTGGTCCGAAGGATCTCGCGCGCGCGGTGAACACGAACAAGGAAGTCTACGACTTCTTGGCTACCGCCACGGCGAAGGTAAGCGTCATAGACAGTGCCTCCGAGTGCGGGCGCCTTACTCCTCATTCAGTACGGTCTCGGTTTCTGGAAGCCTGGCTCTGGTATTATTCACCAGATCATCCTTGAGAACTATGCCTTCCCCGGTGGTCTCATGATCGGGACGGACTCGCACACGCCGAACGCCGGCGGTCTCGGTATGGTTGCTTGCGGTGTCGGCGGTGCTGATGCGGTCGATGTCATGGCTGGTATCCCTTGGGAGCTCAAGTGCCCCAAGGTCATCGGTGTCAACTTGACTGGCAAGATCAGCGGCTGGACTACTCCTAAGGGTATGTTTCCACCGCTACTACTGACCTTGGCTGTGCTTAACGCGACTACAGATGTCATCCTCAAGGTTGCGGGTATCCTCACGGTCAAAGGCGGTACCGGTGCCATCGTCGAGTACAAGGGTCCTGGTGTTGAGTCGCTGTCGTGCACGGGTATGGCTACGATCTGCAACATGGGTGCTGAAATCGGTGCAACGACCTCGATCTTCCCCTTCAACCACCGGATGGTCGACTACCTCAAGGCCACGAAGCGCGGCGACATCGCGGAGTATGCCAAGAGCTTCTCGCACAACCTGCAGGCGGACGAGAATGCCGAGTATGACGAGCACGTCGAGATTGTGGGTACTCGTCCATGTCTTTTTTCGCAGTGACGCTGACTGTCTCTCAGAACTTGTCCGAGCTCGAGCCTCACATCAACGGTCCTTTCACCCCCGACTTGGCGACTCCGATCTCGAAGTTCAAGGAGGCTGTCGAGAAGAACAACTGGCCTGCTGATCTCCGTGTCGCTCTGATCGGTTCTTGCACCAACTCTTCGTACGAGGACATGTCCCGCGCTGTTTCTATCGTCAAGCAAGCTGCCGACCATGGTCTGACGACCAAGAGCAAGTTCACGGTTACTCCCGGTTCCGAGCAGGTTCGTGCGACCATCGATCGCGACGGCTACATCGCGACGTTCGAGGAGGCTGGCGGTATCGTGCTCGCCAACGCGTGCGGTCCTTGCATTGGTCAGTGGGATAGGCGTGACGTCAAGAAGGGCGAAGTCAACTCGATCATCACCTCCTACAACCGTAACTTCACCGGCCGTAACGACGCTAACCCCGCCACGCACGCTTTCGTCGCCTCCCCGACATCGTGACCGCCTTCGCGTTCGCCGGTGACCTCCGCTTCAACCCCTCACGATACCCTCAAGGCGCCGACGGCAAGCCGTTCAAGTTCGTCGACCCGACTGGCGCTGAGCTCCCGCCGAAGGGCTACGACCCCGGAGAGAACACCTTCCAGCCTCCCCGCAGGACCGTGCCAGCGTCCAGGTCGCCGTCGACCCAAGTCTGACCGTCTTCAGCTCCTCACACCCTTCGCTCCTTGGGATGGCAAGACCCCCACTGACCTCCCCATCCTCATCAAGGTCAAGGGCAAGTGCAGTAAGTGTTGTCACTAGCACCTGGCGATTCGATTTGCTATGATTATTATCTGCAGCGACGGATCACATCTCCGCTGGTGGTCCCTGGCTCAAGTATCGTGGTCACCTCG